CGAGTCTCCTGCCTCAGCCTCCCAAGTAGCTGGGACCACAGGCGCCCGCCACAACACCCGGCCATTTTTTGGTTGCAGCCATCATTGTTGTTTGGAGGGCCCGGGCTGGGGATTCGAACCCACCACCTTAGATGTATGTGGCTGGCGTCTTAGCCGCTTGAGCCACAGGCGCGGAGCCGAGCTTTGATTTCTTAACCTATAAAATGGAAGTGACAAAAGCTAGTCCTGAGGGTAATTAGACTACTGCAATGAACTAACATATGCAAAATGCCTGAGGTAGCCGGTAAATGGTCTCTCTCCCCAGTGGAAGAGAATTAGAGAAGAAATCACATTTACCTAAAATGCATGTCGATTCCTCTCTTTCTAAAGGAACAGAAGCCACCTTCCGATTTCCATTTCCACCCCAGCCACTTAAGAACAGTACGGCCTACTCAGGTGAGTTAGCGCCTCCCTGAATTTTAGCAGCCTCACCTGCGAAGGGGGATTATCAGACCCACCTGCAGGGCGGTGAGGTGGAAATGCATGTGATCAGTGCAGTACGTGGCGCCAGGAGACACAAGCGGGCAGACAGGGGTGCCCACCGGGAGGTCTCAGCTCTGAGCATGTGGAGACTCCCTAGAACAAGGTGGCTTCAGTTCCTGGCCCCCTGTTTCTTTCCCTAGGCATATAGCTGAGGTCCAACAGGCTGTCCACTGATGTTTTCTCATGCAAGGCCTCCTCAGGGAGGATGTCATTGCCCAAATGGACCCAGGGGACCTCCTCTAGTCCTACCAGCCCAAACCTCCAGCCCTACCCATTAAAAATTACCCTTCTCATGAGCCTTCAGGTCTGAGTCCCTGGACTCCCCACTGTCCCCTCTACTGTGGCCTTGCATGATGACGCTCATAGCAGCAGGGTAGCCACAGGGGGCCCAACTCTGAGCAGAAGTGAAGTGCAGCCTGGACACCTGGTATTCCTGGCTGAGTTCCAGGCCCAAGGAGCGAAGTTTCTATTGTTTGGACACAAATGGGCCCAGGGACGTGCTTCCTCCTTCATTTTGAGTATCTGCCCTGTGCCAGGAATGTAGGCCTGAGTGAGACAAGTCACTGGCATCAGGCAGTGCAAGCTGGGGAGGAGAAGGGCCAGCTCCATTCAGTGGAAGCAATACTCTGTCATCCAGGCAGGGACAGCCAGATTCCGAGCTGGGAGTAACAGATTGGCACAAGAAGGCCTCTGTGGAGATCTAGCCATCTTCTGCAGCCTCCTCTGGCATTGTGCTTGTGACAATAGTTGCAGCATCATGTTTGAAATATAAGTGGACTCAGGGGAGAGAAGGCAGTGTGCTCGTCCTGGGTGGGCCACCTTGTTCTTGCTTGGGTACAGGGAAAGTGAAAGTGATTTAAGAAAGGGGAGAAGTAGTCCCAGAGCATGGGGGGCAAAGCCACACAAGTGGAGGTGCTTTAGTGTTAAAACCGTCTGCCGAGGTTCTTCCAGATGCCCAGCGCCATTTGAGACATGGCCTGTATTCTGTTCTGCCTCTTCCACAGCTCTCTAAGGCTGATGTGCTCTCCTTGTTTTATAGACAAGAAAGCTGAGGCTCACCAAAGGAAAACGGTGTGTGCGAGGTTAACCCCATGTAATGTGAAATGATGGCCCACCTGAAATGTGCTACTTAATTAACTGAGAAATAATTAGAATTCAAAAGAGGGGGAAATGTAGCAAAAAATACCCCAATGCTAGAAAATTACAAAAATATTGAAGGATTAATATAAAGCATTTCTAAACAGCCCCGTGGAACTCCAAGATTACTAATTTCTTTGAAAGCTTATGATTGGGACATGATCATTTTTGGCCAAATCGTGAGATTGCCTAACTTTATGTTAGAAAAAAATTGTTCACAGCCAAATCATAAGCTCTCCTCTCAGCCCTCCCCAGAAGCACGGTGGCTTACCATTCAACACGTGAGTCCCTTGGTGGGAACCTCTGACCCTTACTCTGAGGTCAACACCAAGATGAGTTCTCTGGAAGTTCCTCCACGAGTTGAGCATTTATTTCTCTAAACCAGCCATTCTCAACCTATGGGTTGCGATCCCTTTGGGGGTCGAACAGCCCTTTCACAGGGGTCGCCTAAATCCATCCTGCATATCAGATATTTACATTACAACTCCTAACAGTAGCAAAATTACAGTTGTGAAGTCGCAATGAAAATAATTATATGGTTGGGGGTCACTACAATATGAGGAACTATATTAAACTATATTAAACCATATTAGGAAGGTTGAGAATCACTGCTCTAGATCCTGGCGATTCCCTAGCTGACTAGAGCAATGCCACTCCAGGTGTGGTTCACGGGCAGGCACCGACCTGTGATCCCACGCATACAGCAATGAGAGAGCTCTAAACTTGAAGAGCAGTCTGGCACTGCCACACATCCAAGCGTGTGATCATATTTCTAGTCATTTATTTTTATAGTTTCTGGAAGTATCAGGCCTCAATGGATTAGAGAGCTAAAAAGAAAAAAATAAAACCTGGTCGCTGGCCACAGATACAGTAGTTTGAAGAGCTCTGAACTCGTGGAAGGCAGCTGGTCTGTGCTCACTCTCGTGGGCCCTGCGAGGCTGTCCCGCTGTCAGGAAATAGAACGTAGCCCCGGAGCCCTGGGCAACATTCGCCTTCACATTGGTCTTTGTGGTGGGCTTCAAAGGCCCCCTTTCATCCCTTGAGGCAAGTTCTCTGTCAAGTGGTTTCCTTGTGACCTCTCAGAGAAATCCTGGTCTACCTCCTGGTGGTTCTGAAATGGTTTTCATCAGGTTGGGAAGGGCAGGTTGGAGCCCCAGTGCTGATTTCTGTAAGCGTGTTTTCACTTCACTTTTTTTTTTTAAAGAAAGTCATCCTTTCAGGGTGGGTGTATGGATGCCGCTGGAGGAAAGGAGACCTCGGGCCCTAATGAAAGTCACACCCTGCTTGTGATCTGCATCCTGGATGCCCTGGCCAGTGCTCTGTGCTGTAGAACAGCTGATCAGACCTCTGGGTTCTGGCAACACCTCCCAGCGACCTTGCAGCTCTCTGCATGCTTCAGTAATAGCTCGGAAGCTCAGTAGTACGAAGTGCTTATTAGCTAAGTGGTTAATAAGGTTTCATTAGGGACTTGTATACAAAGCCCCAGAAAATATAGTCTCAGTCTCTGCGAGTACAGGGGGGGCAGTAATTGTGTGTGGGAATCTTGGTATCACAGAGCGCCTTTCTGGGAGAGGACCAGGGAGCCCGTTCACACACTGGGCCAGGGGAGACAGCCAGGTGGGGGCTGGGAGGGCAGTACAGAGAGTCAATCTGAACTTCCTGTCTCCCTCCCCTCTCTATTTTGGCATAGGTCCAGGAAGTACTTTGTACTCTCCATCCCCTACCTGAGGGGTCAAGTTGCGGGCCGAGCAGGGGATGGAACCTCAGGCAAACAGTGGCCTATTGTCCTGAGCCAACCCACCTGAACCTTTCCTGGAAGCAAGAGCTAAGGGTTTTGGCGTTTGTAGACTCCTGAACATGGCAGAGAGAGTGGCTGGAAGCAGGATCCTGACACTCCAAGGCACAGCCAGCACCAGGCAGGGCAGGAGCAGGAGATTGCCTGTCAGCTGCTGCCCCTGAGAAGCAAAGTCTGATGAGGTCCTGTCTGTTCAAGTCTGAGGGATCAGACACACCAAGCAGGCCGGTAATCGTGGCCTCTGCAGCCCCCAAGAGCCACGACATGGTCTGCAGTGACCATTCCAGGTGCCTCTAGTGTTGGGCTTCCAGAATGAGAACAGGAGCCAAGGTCTCCTGGGCCTCATCTCTGCCATCGGCTGCTTGGTGCCCTCTTCCCATCCAGCCCCATTTAGGGTCTGTGCTTTCTGGGACTCTGACAAGGTAGCCTTGGCTCCTAAGGATGGGCTGTGCTACCAGCAGCTGGGGACCTGTGCAGGCCCTCTGTTCTCTGCTTTGCAGTTCCCTGAACATCCTGCTTTATAGTTGAGGCTTTCTGTTGTTGGATGAGGTATGGCCTCCCGAGTGCAGTCTTGGCTGTAAAAGGAGGGCATTATTTCACCCACTGCAATACCATTGCAGCAGTGAGGGAAAACTTGTCCTTTCCCCACTGAAAGTTTGCTGAAAGATCATCTCACAATTAGGGCAGCTTGATATGAGAAATGTTTATTTCCAAGTTCTAGGTGCATGGTGGAAATCACAAGAGTGATTGCTCAGTATCTCAATGATAGTCAGGTACCTTTATACCTTTAGTAGGGAGGGGATGAGGACTAGAGGTGCAGCAAGTGGTTTCTAGGGAGGATAAGGAGATGGGGGATCAGGTTGATTTGTAAGTTTACCTGACAGACAGGTATAGGGTTTTGAATGATTTAGGCCTGGTCTGCTAGCATTCAGGGGCAGGAAGGGCAGTCGCTTGCCCTCCTTTAATCTTCTAATCAGGTCAGTCCAGTTTTATGTAGAAAGAAAGCCTCTTCCAAATGGCTTCTGATCTCAAATGGCCTTTAATTCAAAGTATTTTTTATACCACGTAGTCATCTTTGGGGTGACATTTCCTTAGCTCCTTCACTGTCATTTGTTGATTTGTTGTGGTGATGACTACCCACCTTTGCCCAGAGGCCCTGCAGCCTAAATTACTGCTCTCTCTGGCCCAAGGCTGGATTTGGGGGCCGGGAAGGATCTGAAGCCTCCTTCCCTCCAGGGTCTGAGGATCAGGAATAGGGGTTTCAGAATCTCAGGTTGTGCATATTTATCTCCCATAACAAGAGATGCTTGCATCCCCAGGGTGAGCTTCCAGAGCTGGAGGAGAAATGGGGAGAAGTTGGGGTTTGCTGAGGGGCATATATGTATTTGATGTGCCATGCTTTCTTTGGGGTATCAGCTTCCACCCCTTCCCCAGCTCCCTAAGTGCTTGACACCTTGGTAAGCAGCCAGGCAGTTGTAGATGCCCTCAGGAGCACAGGCACCCATGACCCAGATCAGGTGGTGTTCCCTGGGCCCACACGGAGCCACTGTCTCCTACTCTGAGCTGGCTCTGGACCAGCTCAGAGCCCCCATCCTGGCCCATTCCACGTGCTGCCCTTGGTGGCATGATAGGCTTCAGTCCTGCTAGGAGCATCCATGTAAGACCCAAACGCATCTCCCAGGGGCCCACTGAATGTAGAGGAGGAAGGGAGAGGGTCATCAAGGTATAAGGAAAAGCAAATTGTTTCCTCTCCACCCGCACACTACTCAGCCCTGCTCAGCAAAATACGTGTGGGGGTGTTTCTCCACACCAACAAAGTCTATAAACATAAGTCTTTTCCCTGAATTCTGTGAGATGTCCTACCAAATTAATCGAGCCCAAGGAGGGAAGGGCTCACTCCGTTTACTGATCTATTGTAAAAGATGTAATAAAGGAGACGGATGGACAGCCAGGTGAAGAGGGAGTGGGCGGCGCCTGTGGGAAGCGCACAAGGCTTCCCTGGCCTCCAGGTGCACCACCTTCCTGGCACTCCAGGCATCCAGCTACACGGGAGCCTTCCCAACCCCATCCTTTTTGGTTTCTATGGAGGCTTTCTTACGTCAGCATGATTGATTAAACCACCAGTCACTGGTGATAGACTCAACCTTCAGCTCCTCTGCCCTCCCCGTAGGTCAGGGGTAGGCTGAAAGTTTCAATGCTTAACCTCAGAGTTGGTTCCCCTAGGAGCCAGCCCCATCCTGGAGCTATCCTAGAGCCTCAGGGGTCACTGCATTAGAGCAAAAGATGCTTCTATCACCCAGGAAACTCTCAGAAACTTAGGAGCTGTGTGCCACGCATCATCACTCAAATGACAAAGGTCGTACAAAGGAAATTACAAAGGTCATAGGAGCTCTAAGCTCTATCTCAGGAACCAGGAGGCAGAAAACTAAATATGTATTTCTTAATATATCACAATATCACTCAAGGTAATCTTGGCCCAGCCCCTACTAAGTGCTAGATACTCTGACATGCACTTTCTCCCCCATTCCTTCCCTCAAATCAACGCGGTAGGTGCAAAACTGTCCCCGTTTAAGTAAATGAGGAAATGGAACTCAGATACTCTGGTCCCTTTTGGATCATTTCCAAGACAGTATCTTCCAAGTACAGCACTTGGTGCTGGGTATCAGTACCAGCTCGAGGTGGAGCTGGGTCCCATTCCCAGCCAGTGCTGGCCCCACTACCCTCTGCTCACAGCCCCTGAAGAGGAGGGGTCTCTACAAGGTGGGAGTGGGAACTAACAGCACACAGCAGGGACTTCCCTCCTGGTTTCTTTCTTTCCTTTGCTTGGATTCTCTGACTCACAGGTTTGGGGAGGCTACAGGCCTTTTTGGTGATGATCGGGCCGGAGCAGTGAGATTCACCTCCGTTGCCCTGAGGAGAGTGGCCATGAAGGGCCTGGGGTTGGGGCCAGGAAGTCCAAGTGCTGTCCCAAATCTTGCATGGACATAGTATTTTCTAAGTGACCTTGGGTAAATGACTTTCCCTTTCTAGAATTCATTCACCTCTCCTGTATAAGGAGAGGCAGGAGGAACTCCTGGAGGCCTGGTACGTCGGGTGGCTGTAGCTCTACTAGTCACCTGGTTTACCCAGAGTGAATTTTTGCCTTTTGGTTTTTAATGCTTTCTTTTCTAATTTTTTTTACTGTGTTAAAATATGTGTAACATAAAACTTATCATCTTAATCATTTTTCAAGTGTATAGTTCAGAAATAGGGTCTCACTATGTTGCCCAGGGTGGTATCAAACTTTAGGCCCTCCTACCTGGGCCTCCCCAAACCCTGTGATTATAGGTGTGAGCCACCACACCCAGCCAAGAATATAGTTTATCCCTCTCCACAACTCTTTTCATCTTGTAAAACTGAAACTCTATACCATTAAACAACACCTCCCCACTGCCCTTTCCCCAGCCCCTGGCTGTATTTCTCTCCTTTTCTCCATCTCCAGAGTGCCTGCTGTTCAGCCCTGGGTGGTCTTGCCTCTCCCAGGATGCGGCCTGCTGTTTGCACTTGGGTTGGAGCCCCCGCCCCCTCCAGCCTGTTTGCATTTTCTTTCTGGGTGCTAACTGGCCTCTACCTTTGTCTCTGTCTCCTCTGCCTCCACTCTTGGTTAGCTGACAGTAGGGAAGGTGTCCAGTGGAATAGGGGCTGCAGCTGAAGTCCTGGTCAATCTGTACATGAATGATCACAGACCTAAGGCCCAGGACACCTCTCCAGACCTGGTAAGGACACACACCCCTCAGCCTTCACCCGCAGACACTGGCTCTGGCCTCCCAGGGAGAGTGCGTGGGACACGGAGAGAATGGACCAGCCCTCAAGCTGCCCTTGTCGTGGGACAGAAAGGGCTGAGAATGGGCTGAGTCAGAGCAGAAGTTAGAAGGAAGCTGAATTTCCTTAAAAGCAAATTTCACTCTGGTCCTTTTTGGATCATTTCCAAGACAGAGGAGCTTCCTTGCTGTCTGTGGTTCTGGGGAACTGCTCAGTGGAAAGGCCTCAGAGAGGCCATTGCTTATTTAGACGTCCCTTACTCCCCATGTGTAATGTCCAACCTCAACGGTCCCTTTGCTTCAGGAAAGGGAAAAACATCCCTTTGAATTTTCCCATTCTCCAAACTAGGCCACTTGTTGCAGTCAGCAGTGATTTGAGTTGACAATTCCTTCAGTTTCCCTTTAATGCATTCCCCTGGCATCACCCAGGGGTCCCCCTGCCCAGGCCTATGCCCTCGCTCTTGGCATTTAGGAATTTAACTGAACAGATTTGATGCCACAGCTTTCCCAGCCTGACCTGCACCCTGCAGGGGCAAGGACATGTGAAACATCCCCGGTGGATCAGTTTCAGTGACCTCTCTTGTGAGCCCCAGGTGACACTTAACCCCAGGGACAGATCCCAGGGAGAACATTGCTGAGCAGACGCGTTTGAGTGAAGCCCACTCGGTCAGACCAGGCAATGTCACTCCCAAAGAGGCCCCCCAGCCAGTGCTGGCCGGTGTGGGGCTGGGGTCTCTGGTAGGAGCGTTATCTTCCCACCCCTTGCTCTGTGCTGCTGTGACAGGAACAGCAAAGAGAAGCCTGCGAAGGCCCCAGGATTCAGGTCGGAAGTTCCAGCACCTGGCCTTCGGAGCTGGCGGTCAGCCCTAACACTGCTCTTTCCTCCCGACTCCCAGGAATGTGTGCGGAAGTCGTCATTCCCCCTGAACCTGGGTGGCAGTGACACCTGTTACTTCTGTGAGAAGCGTGTGTACGTCATGGAACGACTGAGTGCCGAAGGCCACTTCTTCCACCGCGAGTGTTTCCGCTGCAGCGTCTGTGCCACCATCTTGCGCTTGGCTGCCTACGCCTTTGACTCAGACGAAGGTAACCCCAGGGTGCGGGCAGCACTGGACTCTGGCCTTGGTGTCAGAGGTGGGCTTGGCCTGAGTTCCCTAGAGGCCCTCTAGAGGCTCTGGAACCCCCAATTCGTCACCAACAGAAGCAGGATGTCATCATCAAAGCTATTTTGAGAAACTAAGAGCTCCTGCTAGACAGAGATCCTGCCTGGGGTCCGGGGGCAGGGGAAGCATTGGCACCTGCAGTTTACCAAGCACTGCGGCCACCTACTGTGTGCCATTTTACACTTAACCTCACCACCTTGCCTCGTCCCAGTGTGGCTAAGAAAATTCAAACCTGATAGGCTGTGTAACATGCTTGGCACCACACCTGGCATGATGAAATATTAATATTCTTTCTAAAATGTGTATCATAAAAATAATCAGCATAATAACATCCACTCTGAGAAGTGGCCTCAGCGAGCTCCTTGATGCAGGAATTGTATTTGGCTGTCGTGTGGAATGAGAAGCAGCATGCCTGGTGGTGCTCACAGTCACACATTCTCAAACAGACCGCCTGGCTCAACCCAGCCTGCGCCCCTTACTAGCCACATAATCTTTGGCCTGTGGCTTAACCTCTTGGTCTCTCAGTTTCCTCATCAACAAAACGTGGCTGACAGCAATGCTGAGCTCCCAGGGTTGTTGTGAGGACCCACAACGTGTGGAGCGTTTGGAATAGTGCCTGGTATACAGTAAGTCCAACTGCTGCTAGTACGCCAGTGAGCAAGGAAGGCTTTTCTGGAAGGTGCCCAGTGCTCCTGGGCAGTGGCCAGTTTCCCGGCGTGTGCCTGTCTGGGTCTTTCCCTCCCAGCACTGCTGCCATTTGCCTTCAGCCTTTCCCACCCCCGGAGATCTCAGAAAGGAAGACCAAAGATGTTGACACCTGAGTTGTCCATGGTGCTGCCTGGCAGCTGGTCTTGGGAAGAAACCTAGCCTCAGTTTGAAGATTTTTTAAGTGTGTTGACCAATTATAAAGCAGAAATTCTCAGCAGGCACTGCATTAAAGGGCCGCAGCATTAGAAAGGTTGAGAAGCACTGCTGTAAAGGATACAGAGATGAAGAGGTGAATAGGGTGAGGTGTGGCAGAGGGGCTCGGACACCCCTGCTCTCTCCAGGGCAGGCATACCACGCAGGGACCTCTGTGCATCCAGCTGTCCAGAAGCTCTGCTTGGCTTGAGGATTTTAGATCCATCCACAGATGCTGCTGCCTTATCTCAGCACCACTTTTTTAAAGCAGGTGACAGAAAGTGCTCCCCAAGTTTGAGCCATGTGAGGCTGATTTCCATTGACGGTGTTTTCTGACTTGGATGGCGGCAGGTACTTGGCTGATGTCTACTGTGGTGCTGGTTTACAGGAGAAAATCTTCACGTGGCTGTGTGTGCACCTCTTTTAACAGGCAAATTTTACTGCAAGCCGCACTTCATTCACTGTAAGGCCAACAGCAAACAACGGAAGAGACGGGCAGAGCTGAAGCAACAGAGAGAGGTATGTGTTGCCTTGAGCGTGCTGGTGAGAGAGGGAAGCCCTTTGATGGGACAGGGCTTTCTAGGGCTGCCCAAAGTTAGGCCACCCTATTTTTTTTTGCCCCAGAGGGATTGAAACTACTCACATACTTGTGTAGCTTTCCTTCTTTTTATACTTTATTTTCCCTTTGTTTTTGCATCGAGCCTATAGAACTTGAGTCATTAGAGAAAGGGTTTACACAGTAGACTGTGGCTAATGGTAGGTGATTAATCAAACCCAAGAGAAGGTATTTGCTAAGAGCCGCCAGCATGAGCGCGACTGCAGATCATCTATAAATTCAGTGGGCTGGTCACTGTGCTGACCTCAAGAGCCTGGGAAAGAACTTGGAAACCACAGAAGGTCAACCCCATCCCAGGCATCCCTGCAAGCAGCACCCTGTGGCCAGGTGGGCCCCGGGCAGAGGGACCATGAGGCCTTCACATGGCTGAGCATAGAGTTCCATCGTTGGCACATGGGCAGACTCTTCCTGGGCTTCTTACAAGAAGCTAGCATGGCCTCTCATGGGAGCTGGAGTCTGGAACAGGGCAGACCCCACGGGCTGCGGAATTGATGGAGGCAAAGGCACCGTCCACACCAGCAAGTAGAGGCCGTCTTCTCTATGCATGTAATTAGGAGTGAGATCGCTTATCAAAGGGTATGTATATTTTAATGAATCCCTATGGTCAGTTTACCCCCAAGAAAAGCTGTGCCTCTATTCAGCACCTACTTCAGCAGTCAGTGGTGGGTGCTGAGATTATTTGCAAAGCCCAGGGTTAGCCCAGTTCACGTTTTATTGCTTCTCTTGGTCTGCTTCCTTGGAGCCGTCCTCTGTGACACTCGTGGACTAAATGTCTCATGTTTTTCTTGTTCTCAGGAGGAGGGGACATGGCAAGAGCAGGAAGCCCCTCGCAGAGACACTCCCTCGGAAAGCTCTTGTGCTGTGGAGGCCATCAGCACCCCGGAAGGCAGCCCCCCAGGTATCTCCACCTCCTCCTTTAGGAAGCCGCTGAGCTGGTCTTTCAGGCTGCCCTGGGGCCTGCAGGACCTTCCCCGGAGCCTGCTAGACTGGATGCAGGGAGCGCTGCAAGCCGCCAGCCTCCATATCAGGGACAATGCTTTCAACTACTGCTACACCTACGAGCTCCTGAGCCTCGGGCTGCCGCTCCTCTGGGCGTTCTCCGAGGTCCTGGCGGCCATGTACAGGGAGTCTCAGGATACCCTGGAGAGCATCAGCAGCTGGGTGCTCAGGTGCTTCCCGGTCAAGCTCCAGTGAAGCACCGTGCGGCCCCAAAGCGCCTTAACATTTCCAGAGTTAGTCAGCAACGTGTCTGTAGTTTACTAAGGCTCTGGCCAGGAAGCCTAGCGTTCTATAACCAATTAGCTCAAAGCCAAAGCGTTTCACATTAGCCGCCTCCGCCTGGCCTTGTCAGGGTGAACATCTACTCACGGTGCTAGGGCCAGGGACAACATGAAGGATGTTTTTTACAGCTTTGTACTTTTTTATACCAAAGCGAGCCATATTTCTGGGTTTACATTTCAATTTCTCACTTTTCATAAGCCAAGCGAAAACTTCTTTTTTTCTATGAGTGTCAATTTTTCTAAACACGGGTTTGCCGTTTGTAGCTGGTTTTACAAACCCTTTAATATTCTAGTCTGTTGTAACAGCCACTGCCTGCAAAGTTAATGATTTTGAGATATTACGAACACAAAAAAGAGTGTGCCATCTCCTCACCAGTGCCTTTCGACTTACGACTTGGATGTCAGTTGTCAACAGCAGGTGATTACTTGCAACATGATAGTATAATTATTTTAGAAGAAAAAAGTAGAAGGGCAGAATAGAATCAAACCTACAAAAGCACCCAGCACATATAGTTGGCTGTTATCTCTCCTCCCAGAAGCAAGAGGACTGTTTCTGTTTCCTTGTTTTGATGTAAAATAGCAATTTGAAGGCTTTATCCCCAGTATCAAATCGTAGCCAAATTACACAGAACCACAGGTGTTAACCTGATGGCTACAAACATATGTTGCCCTCCCCACTAATGAGCACTCCAGAGGAGGCTCATTGGACTTGACCGGTCGGACTTGATGTAGAGAGCTCCATCAAGCTGATGCAGTGCTGAAGACATTTCAGCTGAAACATTTCAGCTGGTAGCATTTTAACCCTTGGAGCTGACCCTAGCAGGTCCCCCGGTCCAGGCTACAGGCTGAGCCAAGGCCACTCAGGGTCCACAATGATTAGTGCAGGACTCTGCCCTTTCACATGGTATCCCTTGAGGCTGTGGGTGTTTATTGCTGGGAAATATGGCCTGTCCACTGAACATTGCCTGCGGACATGCTGGCTGCTTAGCCACTCTGCTGCCGTGCATAGAATGTTCAGGAACTACTCTCACACTGCCCTGGCAAAGGGATATGTCTGACCTCCACGGGAAGCTCTACTGTACCTTGACTGGCAGGGAAGGCTGAGAGTAGAAACCATTTATTGACTGATCCAAAGGAGATATGCCCCAGTAAGGGTAAAAACCAGCATTGGCCCCACCTACATTATCACTCTGAGTATCTGGGAGAGCCCTTGGCTGTCTCCACACCACTCTGCCTGAACACTCTCAGCTGCAGGGTCTGGTTGAACAATCAGGAGACTGAGAGAGAAAGGCTTTCTATGGTGCTCAGGGAGAATTGCTGGGCCCATATGCAGTTGTTATCACTAGAGCGGTTCTCAACCTGTGGGTCACAGCCTCTTTGGGGGTCGAATGATCCTTTCACAGGGGTCGCCTAAGACCATCCTGCATATCAGATACTTACGTTACAATTCATAACAGTAGCAAAATTACAGTTATGAAGTAGCGACAAAAATAATTTTATAGTTGGGGGTCACCACAACATGAGGAACTGTATTAAAGGATCGCGACATTAGGAAAGTTGAGAACCACTGCTCTAGATTAACTAAGGAGGAGCCAGAGGGGTTAGCAGCCAGAGCTCTTGGGAGCTTCGAGAGGACAGGTTTCTATAGAGTGAGAATAAAGGGCAGTGAGTTTCTGCAAACACTTCTCTGAAGTCCTCAAGAAAAACAGGGGACTGGCCATGGCCAAGCCTGCAGGAACTAGGGCCTCCGTCCTTGTTGGAACTGTTCTGTCTGATGACTTGCATTGTGTTCTTTCCAATTTTTTGCTAGGGATTTTAATGTTCAGCATGGTGGGAGGAGCCCTTGATTCCTTTTGTGTTTAATTATAGAAAGTGAATTCTCAAGGTCACGATGTGAACAGCCATGTTATTGTGATTATCGTCAGCTCAGGGCAGGCTGAGATGTTGTGTAGCCTTCATGTTCTATGAAGCCAGAGTTGGAATCTCTAAGAATGTCATAGATGGCCATCAGGAGACTGGTTTGAATTACTCTGGTGAGACAGGGTGTGCCTGGCAGAAGTCTAAGATGTTTGAGTGTTCTGAGACATTGAACCTTCCTGGTGGACAGCAGCAGCACACCCGGGTGATCCCAGGGGGCGGATGCCTCGAGGCCTCCATGACTCATCACTGGAGGATGAGTAGGAGACGCCAGAGGACTGGGGGGCAGAGAGGGAGGCCCTGAGGGCGCTTGCAGCTCCGAGTGGTGTTGGCAATACACAAACTGCGTTTGTCTACTCTGGTGACAAGTAACTGGTCACCACCAGAAGGGTTCATCTCTCCCACGCGAGCAGTGACTTGCTCAGGGTAGGTCCCCCTTCTGTAAAATGGTTGCCTTATTTCCAACTCCGATGCCTTCTCACACTGTAATCCGTTTTCCTTTTTCCCCCTCACTAAGTTCTCTTTTCCGTCTTTCTCTCTCTTTCCAACCTTACACTGTGGCCTTCAGTTCATTTCAGCCTTCCAGTTCTCCACCCACTTCTTGGCTGACACCCTTCTACTCTGAGGTGACTGGTTTTCTTGCCAATTTTCAGAGAGTGGTACTAACGCCTAACCCGCTTTCTGCACCCCGTCCTCCCCGCCGGTGCTTCTGGTTGCGCTAACTGTGAGTGTCTTGCATACTGACAGACTCGTTCGGTGGCATGGTCGGTTTACAGTGTGGGGTGGTGTTCAGCTCGACTCCGCTTCCCCTGGAGCCGGTAGCCTGGTCCACACCAAGTGCATGCCCCGCCTCACCTCTGTCCCCGGGCCTGTCCGCGTGCATGCTTTTCCAGTTGTGCCTGCAAAGCCACTTCCATCTTGGGAGGGTCAACCTGACTGTGAGACAGTACCTTAGGGAGGGCTCTGTCACCTTGGAAAAGAACACTTTTATCTATTAGTCTCTGAAAAAGCTCACACATACCAGCATCTTCTTCAATGGGTTCCAACATAAAGATTAATGATGACATTGATCAACACCCACAGGTGGCTGGCTCTTTCTGGAGGGATTTTTTTAAAAGTATTTACTCCCACCCAAGCTTCATCCAGAGCTTGACCCACCCTGTGTAGTGTGAACACATAAATTGCAACTATTCTAGTAAATCCCTTCTCTGTTGGAGCCTGCACTGCAGATCCAAAGGTTTTGCTGTGGCTCCTTGTGTCTCCTTTGGCTCATAAAGCCCCAGAGGGTACAGGAGCTTCAAATAGAGCAACCGTGATCCCAGTCAAGGATGTTTTTGAGAAACGACTCATTCAGGCCCAGGCCTGGAGCCCCCAGTTTACACGGCCCTGTGGCTCTGTTTAAAACACCATCTGCTGAGTCATTTACCTGGAGCAGCCGGACAGTCCACATGCTCTTAATGAGAAACAGTGCCCCCAGCACAGTGGAGCTGGAGTAGGCCAGGCCCCGCAGCCTCAGGTCCTGCCCTGTCCGAGCTGTCCGCCCCCAGCCTGCCTGCCCAGTGCTGCATGCCGTGTCCCTCGCTGCATCCGTGCCGATCCTGGCCAGTACGAAGTCGTTGCTCTTGTCTTTATCTTCTCTTGCAGACCGCCCCTCCCTGTATAGAATGTCAACCAAAGAGTGCCCTCCTCCCCTGTCAGCCTCCTCCTTGGCTAGGCTCCCCACCTCATCACAACGCATGTCTGTGACCCCTGTAATCATTTACAGTGCCACACGGAACCCTGTATTTTGCACACAGCAAAACAATGTTTAGCTTTATTTATGGTATTTGATGCTGTAAATGGAAATAAATATGATTCTTTATAAAGCTCATTGTTTCCTCTCTTCTTTGCCATAGAGGCTTCTAAAACCTCAGACACGGGGATTGGTTTAAGGGCGTCTTGTTTTCCCTGAACTGCTGGCGGGACTTGCACTTGTGGTGACACAGGGCTCTCTGGGTCTGCACTGGGGCATTTTGAAAAAAATATTACCCAGGGGTAATATTTGGAAAATGTTGCCAGAGCTCCTGGGCCAGGCTTTGGGTTCTCTTTCCTGAAAACTAATCGTACTTGGCTGTTCTAGATGCTGGGCATACTGGGTGAGGGTCAGAGTCCACTCAGCTGCTGGGAACAGACTGCATGGACAGCAGCCTGCACCCATCTCCCCACACATCCAAGCATGGCTCTGTAGGAGAGTGCTACCTGTGAGCCTTCTGCAAATGTAGGCTCCTGTATAGCAAGGTTGGTCCTGAGCATCTCACGTCCAGATGAGTGATGGGTAAAAGATGAGGAGGGAGGACAGGACAGCAGTCTGAGGATGGCAGTGACCGTGTGGTGGTGCGCTCATTGGATACAGAGCTATTTGGCATCTTAACAGACCTCCCCTGCCCCTGAAGGCTCAGGGCACTTGTCATCTGATTCTGTGAGCTCTGCACACAGGGCCACTTTCAGTACAGTACACATGGCAATCTCCCACCCAACTCCAAGTTGGGTTTAAGGGAAGGATTTGGAGTCTCCAGCTAACCTGAGAAGTGCCAAAGAAGTCTGGTCCTCAGCCTCGCCAGGGTGGGACAGCTGCCACTGCCTGGCTAGGTGCAGCTGGGCTTCTGATACTGGCATGAAAAGTCACTTCCGAACTTCATAAGGGACTTGTTCTTTTCCGTAC